CCCTCTCTTTTTTCCCCCCCCCCCCCCCCCGCCAGACCTATCTTCTGGAACAAAGTTGGACTTCAGAGAACATGGCTGGTTTTATATAGCCAAGTAAGGGCTACATAATAGTAGAGGTGTGAAACACGGATGAGTCCAGAGAGAGGGGATGGGACAAAACTGGCTATATAAATCCTCCAAGGAAATAACAGAAGGAAAATTTCTAATGGCTACAGAGCTCTCATTTATGTATTGTAAGTATGAAAAAAAAAAAAAACATCAGTGATTTAATAAGAATAGCTGATGTTTATTAGAGGAACTATCACTATTTCCTGCAAAAACAATTTTATGACTCCAGTTTTATAACATCAGAGATGATTAAAGACAGTCTAGTGAATAAAACAATCTAACAATATGAGCATCGTTTTTTATTTATATTGAATGGAAAAAGTCATAAAAGGAAGTCTGTCACTGAAGATAGAGTTGTAATGAAATTTAATCATGGGATTTAGATTCAACAGAATTACTCAGCTACGTAAGGCTCTTTTTGCTTTCAATTTTCTTCCAAGTAAGACTGAACACAGTACATACCATCAAAAATATCTGTAAGTCCAGGGAGACACTTTCCTCTCTAAACGGGATTCTTTGTTGTAGGGTAGATGCTGAACAGATGCCCTATTCCCCCCTCCCTTGCTGAGTGCCCTCCCTCCTCCCTGGGAGGCTGCCCCTGGCCAAGGCGGTTACCCAAGGAAAGGCACATCCCTTTTGACAAACAGAATGTTGGAAGAAGCAGGACACTAAGTAAGGAAGCAAGCACTCAGACACCAGGAGATTAGTCGGTAGATTAATTTATCTACCTAGGCATATCTTGGGTGTGCCCTGAGTTATGTGACCTGTGTGAGGGTTTGCACATAAGCCTGAAAATGATTTATATTCCTGCTTTGATCTGTTTACTATATAACTGCTGTATGTACTCTGCAGTGGTATGGACTTCTTACCAACCAGCCACCATTGGTGCTTCTCATAAGTTTAATAAACCAGTGTCTCTACCTGCTGGACCTCTGGGTGATTTCTTTGGAATAGGTAAACACTATGTGAGTGCCTTCTCAGATTTGGGGCTCCCGCATTACACTTGTCTTACATACTTCCCTTTAATCGAAGCTATATAAAATGGAATTTTATCTCATATCTTCCTCTCAACTAAAAAGAGCATATATATTTTTATTCTACACAGGAGTAATTCTACACAACCAGGATGTCTATGGCTAAGATATTGCCTCTACATATTCCTCAGGAATATTCAGGGTACTAAAAACATAAATGTGAGTGCACTGGAGACCAGCAGATGATAAGAGAGGGATAGGCAATACACAGTAGTCTAGTGATGTATATTTCAAAAGAGCTGGGTTTTTGATGGAGATCAGAGAAGAAATGGCAATACAGAGAGATATATGGGTTAAGCATGAGACAAAAACTAGCAATTGAGGGACTGCAGAGGAAGAACTGCCCTTAGGGAACAGCCGGGTTTCTATCAAAACAAGAAGGTAAAGAAAACACATTCAAAAAGACAGCTCTGAATTCCGGAGAGTATCATGAAAGGGCCTAAGAGGATGGAAAGAGCTGACTGAAGTAACAGCAGGCAGTCCTGGCAGACTTCTGGAAAAAGGTAGGTGATCAGTTCAAGTTATATTGCAGAATATTTATCTGAAAAGGTGCAGGAACTTGTCATAATTTACTCCTGCAGCTCAAGGCAGGTACCAGCCTAGAATATGGGTGAATGCTTCCTCAACGGACTATAATCCTAGCTTGCCTAGAGCAAGAAATGTGAAAATCCCCTGTATTTAGATCTCTGGGTATGAGATAACATTATATCCTTCCTAAAAGAGATTTACTCTTGAAGATCACGAAGTCTTTTAATATAAAGATGAAAAAGAAAGTCTATCTGAAGAAAGAATTTCAGACACTATGACACAGTGATGAGAAAATGTTTTGGTCAGAGACTATCTGCTCAGCAATATAGGAAGTATCAACAACTCTGCTCAGCGATGATATAACAGTCCTATCCCCTGAACACAGCAAATCTGTTCCAGGCCCTCTAAACCCTGTTTTGAACAATCATGCAAAGAAGGACTATTACATGGCAAAATTATGTGCAAACCACTATCTTATCAAAATAGGATAAAACCAGACAATCCTTTTTCACACAAATATACAACCTCCATACCTTTCATTTCTTTCTTTCCAGTAAGAGCAAGGAAGAAATATATAATCCTTAAAACTAAATTATGAGGTACAGAGATAGGCCATAAGTCTCACTCACAGAAGATTGATAGCAGCTTCCTTATGAATCCATGGTCAAATAATTGTCCAGATTCAATTACCTTTCATAGAGGTGGCTACCTAGAAGAATCCCAACTGGTCTCTCACTCACTTATAGAACCACTATGGTGAACAGAGGCACTTTGGTATAATGATGAAAGGATGAACTTCAAAGTCAGATCTGAGCTCAAATCCTGGCTCCAACAATTTACTAGCCAGTCACCTAACCTCACTGAGACTCAATTTTCTTGTACAAATTTTGGGAGGATTAAATGAAATAACATATATCCTCAATAATTCCTGAAACAAAAAAATCACTGTGTTCATAAGACAAATGCATTGGTGCTGGGATTTACTGTATACAATGACAGGAATGGCTGAGTTTAGAACAGGGAGATTCTAAGTGTTCCCAGATGGATTTTGAGCTAATGACTTAAAAGTTTTAAATACTGGTTGAGAATGGTTGAAGGCCCTCCTGGAAGGGTGGACATAAAGAAAGGCAAGGAAGCTGGTGAGCATCTGTTGTACTGACTGCTCAGCATCCTTCCCTCCCGTCTTCTGAAAAAGACTGCTACAATAGAAGATTCTTAAAGTAGAATTAAAGTTGATAAATCAAAGATTGTAGCAATCTTTCCCAGAAGATTGAAAGAAAGGAACCAGATGAGAAAGCTTCAGCTCCTTTCCTCACTTCCTGACTTTGAAGGAGTTGTGTGAAGAAAAGACGCTTATAGCTGTGGCCACTGTCTTGCAAGTATGGGATTACAAAAAATGAAAGCCAATATGCTAAAAATTATAGAGTTAAAATGGAAGTTTGATGAACTTCTGAGTTGCCAAACCAAACTCGGAACAGCTTACCTCTAGACTTCCCCTTAAGTAAACAATCAGTGTTCTTATGGTCTAAGTTACTAGTACTTGTAATTCTGTTCATTACACCTGAAAATATCCTAAATGGTACCTGATGCAAAAGTTCTCCTGAATCACTCTCTAAAGCATTTATTTTATTTCATTTTTTGTCTTTTTTCATGACCGGTAACGGGATCGCAACCCTCGGTGTTGCGCCCGTACCGCGACCGGCAACGGAATCACAACCCTTGGTGTCGCGCCCGCACCGCGCTCAACCAGTGAGCGGACTGGTCTCTATATGGGATCCGAACCCTTGGCGGGAGTACTGCTGCGCTCCCAAGCGCCGTACTCTACCGAGTGCACCACCGGGCCGGCCCTCTAAAGCATTTAGAAGCACTGTTCCAATGTCTTATTCTTAAGAGATCATTATTTACCGTGTGCCAAGCTTGTCATACATTGCATGTATTATCTCATTTAATCCTCACAACAATCCTGTGAGGTAGGTAGTTATTACCTTTCCACAGGTAAGTCTGAGGCTTGGAGAAGTTAAAGGACTTGTCCAAAATTGACAAGCTAGTACATGGCAGACCTGGGGTTAGAACACAGATCTCTCCAACCCCAAAGTATGCCCTTTTAGCTACTAAGCTCTACATAACATGTGAAGGCACAGTTTTCCATGTTTTATATTTAATGGTGACTGTATCTAATTAAAGTTTTTGAGCCAATAATTGTTTCAATTTTATAAGGGTATATTTTTTTCTGGTTGTCTAGACATATATTAAAAAGGAGCCTAGGTAATTCTCCATCATCTGCAGATCCTTCCATAACCGTAGGAAAAAGGGATGCAGTAAATATTTGCTCTGTTCTTTAAAAGTGGTTACAGACTTTGTTGACAACTCTACAGTCAGCTTAAAACTGAAAAAGACAAAGGATTGGTGTTTACGATTTAGAGCCTAAACAGGAAGCAGGCTCTAAAAGGAAGTGACTTGCTCATGGTTCCACTGCCTCTAAGTGCCATCATCAGGGTGCAATCCCAGGATTTTAGACTCTACATACTGTGTGCCATTCATAACATTGTTGAGTGAAAATGACCATGTACTCACTGTATTTAAAAAATACTGTACTTTTTTCCTGAATATAAAAGTAGTACATTCTCATTGTAGAAAATCTAGAAAGAATAGAAAAAAATAGAAATCACCTATAATCCTATCACCTAGAGATAATCCCTGTTTACATTTTGGTTTGGTTTACTTCTGCCCATTTTTTCCAATGTATAAATTTTTTTTTACATTTGGATTATATGTTTTTTCTTTATCTTCCACTTTTCAAAATCATTTTCCCAAGGCATTAAATATTCTTTTAAAATGTTTTAAATGGTTTTAAAACCATCACACGGATAGAAAATCATTCATTTAAACCCTGTACTGTTGAAAATCTAGTTTTCTTTTTTCAGTTATATACAATGCCGGCATGAATATCCCTTTTGTTAATCTCTTTCTACTTCTAATTATTTTTCCTGATATGGATTCTTAAAAGTAGAATTAAAGTTGATGACACTTAAAAATTGCTTTTCAGACAAGTAGCAATTAGCCCTATTACCAGAGATATTTGTTATTTATGAGGTGTCTTTCTCCTCATTGTGTTTTCTCTGGTGTTGAATAAGCTGTGAACTATAACGATAGGCTTTCCCACACTCAGTACATTTATAGGGTTTCTCCTTAGTGTGGGTTCTCAAATGTAGAATAACTTGGGAAGTCTGCCTGAAGGTTTTCCCACATTCATTACATTTATAGGGTTTCTCTCCAGTGTGAACTCTCTGATGATCAATAAGGTTTCGATTAGAAGTAAAAGCTTTCCCACACTCATTACATTTGTAAGGTTTCTCTCTACGATGAAGTCTCTGGTGCTCATCAAGTGTCTTCCTTAAGATGAAAGCTTTTCCACACTCATCACATTCATAAGGTTTCTCCCCAGTGTGAATTCTCTGATGGTCCATAATCTTTGTATTAGAACCACATGTTTTCCCACACTCCTTACATTTGTAAATTTTTTTTCCTTTGTGCATTCTCTGATGTTGAGTAAGGTTTGAACTACGGCTAAAGGCTTTCCCACACTCAATACAAGTGTAGGGCTTCTCCCCAGTATGAACTCTGTGATGTGAAATAAGGCCTGAACTCCGACTAAAGGCTTTCCCACACTCCTTACACTCATAAGTTTTCTCCCCACTATGGATACCCTGGTGCCGAATAAGGTGTGACTTACCACTGAAAGATTTCCCACATTCATTGCACGTGTAGGGCTTCAATCCAGTGTGGATTCTCCGATGAACAACTAGGTTGGAGCTATGATTAAAGGCTTTTCCACACTCCTTACACTTATACGGTTTCTCTCCTGTGTGGATTCGTTCATGAACTGTGAGGTTTGCACTCTGACTAAAGGCTTTCCCACACTCAGTACATACATACTGTCTCTTTTCAGCCTGAATTCTCTCATTTGTTGAAAGGTCACAGGACTGACTGTCTTTTACAGATTCTTGGTCACTCACTTCTGTGAGTGTTTTATTATCTTTAGCTGTCTTATGTTTGAAGTTTCTCATCTTTCTCCTCATTTTCTCCTGCTTGGAGCATTCCAGTGGCCTCTCTGGTCTTCTCTTTCCCTTCAGAGGAGTTTCCTAAATTTTGACTTCCTTGGCAACACCTCTGGAATTCTGTGAAAGTATAATGCGATTCTGATTTTTCAGGAATGATGCTTTGGAATCAACACCTCCTCAGTCCCAGTTTCACCATCTGACAGGAGAAACAGAAATAGCACATGACACCTGTTACTATCCAAGGACAAGATGTGGTAGACCACAGGGTCTCACATGGAAGGGTAATGTTCAAAGGCAGGGGAACTGATAAAAAATGTAAGAAAACGAAGTTATACATAGAGGCTAAGGTAAAGGCTTATGGAAAGCCAGGAGCTGAGAGGAGCCCAACAAGTCCAGTATCAGAATATACAATGAATAATATAAAATCTGACATGGTTTCTTTCTGCCTCATCCTGCACTCCCAACATTGGAGCCATCTAACTCCCAATGGCAGAGGCTCAACTATAATCTGGTCCCTAGAAAAAGCGAATGGGAAGATCAGCAGTTCAGCGGCTCAAATGACTAATCTTCAGATCAGTTTGGCTTTTAGTTCTTACTGACCTTATTCCCCTAGTACTAGTGATATAATGATTGGCACATAATAGGCACTCGAAAATCATTTTATAGAATAGCAACTAGGATTCTGTCTTAGAGTATGACTAAGATTTCATCTTTTGCTCTAGGTTCAGATACTAAGTCCCAGTTTTCATCCCTGTATTTAAGCCCTGTCCTGATAAGTGATAACACAATTCTTCCAATATTTGAGCCTCATCACATCATAGCCTACTTTGTAGGGGCTGGGCTGTAGCTGGTCCAGCTTTATGTGTTAGTTGTATCTGTCGGCTTTTCACCATGCTATCACTCTGACAGACTGGGTCTACTGGGTGAACGTGAGAGGCTAAACTGGGGAAGAGGGTTAGTTAAAGCACAGCGGTGGAAAGATAGGACCTTGCTTAGCCTAATAGTAAAGTATCTGAGGATGTAAAAGGGTGAGAGTAGGGGGCAGCACAACCAAGAGGGGCTGATATACAAAACCAAATATCAGGAATGAGCAGGAATTTCCCAACTGGTTTGACATGAAACTCTGGACATAGGTAATCCTAGCAGACCTCAAATCTAGAGGGGGTTGGGTTACAAAAGAAAACTAAAAGATGTCTTCATGATACTAACACATGGCTGTTTTCCTTTTATTATGTTCCTTATCAGACTTGTTCATATGCATATCATTACATATATAGTATATATAATTTTGCATCCTACTTTTCCCGCTTAATTTTATTTATTTTTAATTCATAAATAAAAATTGTATATATTTACGGTATACAACATGATGTTTTGATATATGTTTACATTGTGGAATGGTTAAATCAAGCAATTAACATATTCATTATCTCACATACTTATTTTTTCATGGTGAGAACATTTAAAAGCTACTCTCGGGGCCGGCCCGGTGGCACACTGGAGAGTGTGCCACTTGGGAGCGCGCCGCCGAGGGTTCGGATCCCATGTGGAGACCGGTTCCCACTCACTGGCTGAGCGCGGTGTGGGCGCAACACCGAGGGTTGCGATCCCGTTACCGGTCAGTAAAAAAGACAAAAAGGAAAAAAAAAAAAAGCTACTCTCGGCAATTTTCAACTATACAATATATTGTTACTAACTATAATCACAATGTTGTACAACAGACTTCCTGAACTTATTCCTCCAGTCTAACTGAACTTTTGTATCCTTTGACCAATATCTTCCTAATCCCCCCGTTAATTTTTTATAAATATTTTTCCACATTGCTATCTAAAATTCATATGACCATTTTATGGCTACATAACATATCACTAGTTGAAGTCATTATAATTTACCTACCATTTTGCTAGTAAGACTTTTCTGTTGTTCTCTGAGGTTTAACCACTATGAATAATGCTATCACACTCTTTATACTTAAAAAGTTTTTTCCTACTGAAATATATTCCTAGGATAAAAGTTCCATAAGTGAGTTATTTGGGTCAGAAGAAATGAAACTGTTTTGCAGTACTACCTACTGCTTTTCAAAAAAGTTTGGCCAATTTCCATTGTCTCACAGCTTTCTGATAAACTGAGTCACACTCTCTGGAGGAGGGACAGATTCAATGGTGAGTGGTGAAGACCAACAAAAAGAGAACTGCAAAGACTGGAGTTCACATCTCAGAATTCTGGGTGCCAATGATTCCATACACAGGCACATATACTCAGATTCATGCTCAAGATATGAAGACCAGCATAGAGAATGGAGGGGGAGGGTGGATTCTTGCCAGGATCCTAAGCTCACTCATACTCAGCTGCTGCTACCTCTCCTAATCATATAAGATAAAGCAGGAGGAGGAAACTCAGTGAGAAGCCAGGGGACTGCAGAGCAGAGTGGGATAGTAAGTGAACTCACCTCCACAGTTCTCTTTGTGAGAAAGTTGATGGTTCTTTCTGATTTTCTTTTCCATTTCTAATCTTCTCTGAAACTTCTCTTTTCTGCATACATTTCTTAAACTAATAATTATTGAGCATCCTACTCTGTAAATATCCCTGTTCTGGGTTTAACACAGGGAAAATTTAAAGAAGCATTGTTATGGACTAAATGTATGTGTCCCCCTAAAATTCATATATTCAAGTCCTAACCCCCAATGTGACAGATTTGGAGATATGGCCTCTAAGGAGATAACTAACATTAAATGAGGTCATAAGGTGGGCCCTGATCCAATAGGATTAGTGTCCTTATAAGAAAAGACATAAGAGAGCTCTTGGTGTGCACTCTCCCCCTGCACACGCACACGTAAAGGCCATGTGAACACATAGCAAAAAGGTGGCCATCTACAAGCCAGGATTAGAGCCCTTACCAGAAACCAAATTGGCCAGTCACCTCAATCTCAGACTTCTAGCCTCTAGAGCTGTGAGAAAATAAAATTCTGTTGTTTAAGCCATACAGTCTACAGTATTTTGTTATGGTAGCCCAAGCAGACTAATGCAAGCATGAAATATCATACCTATTTTTAAGAAGCTTACAATTGAGTAGTATGGCACAACAGTAAGAGAGAAAATTACAAATTACCCAAGCAGGACATGAAGGGGGATAGGGGACGGAGCAATTATTAGGGCTAGAAATGCTGGGGAAAAGGACTTTAAAAAGTCAGGATTTGGGCTGTATTCCAGAGGATAAACAGTAATTGCTTTCTCGACAGGAAGGTGGCACTGGATTAGTGTACTCAAAAGTAAGTGGAAGATTACACTATAACATAAGCTTTATAAGGACAGGGATTTTGTCCATCTTGTTCACCACTGTATTCCTATCACTTAGAACAGTTCCAGGCACATAGTGAGCACTCAAATTTTTCGTTGTTGAATGAACAAGTGAAAAAATGAAAAAGTCATGTTGCCTGAAGAGATTCCAACTAGAACATTGAAATTACAAGACAAAAAATATGGATATAATTTGAAGGTCAATGGGAAACAAGTTCTAAACAGAAAAGTGAAATCTACCCCTAACTTTCTTTCCCTGATCTACACTTTTTTTTCTACCGTGCAATTCTCCTCTTGTTATTTTCCTTCTTTTTCTCTCTTAACAAGAATATAGTTTTTCAAGCATTACCATTCCTTCTCCCTAGTTCCCATACTTCCTCCCCATCCCCCCACTGCGCTACCTCCCTGAACATTCATGTTTCTCTCAGCTTCATGAAGAGGAAAACGGAGGAGAGAGGCAGCTGTGTATCCCATGGGAAATAAACTGAGGTAAATAAAAGGAGATGCCACCTAGAAGTAGGGTGATCATATGTCCTGGTTTTTCCAGAATAGTGCTGATTTATACCTGCTACTGCAACATCACCACTTAACTCACAAAAGTATCCCTGTTTGGACAATAAATTTCGTATCACCCTCCCCCAAAGTGATATTAGGAAAAAAGAATGCTTTAGAAAGATCAGCCCAGGTAGATTAGAGGGGGGGAAAAAGAATGGAGGAAAGGAAATGAGTTGTGAAACAACTTTAAGAATGCAGTATGGGTGACTATTAAAGGTCCTGACACTTTGTAGGTGCCTGCTATGAGTTAAATGTGTCCCCCCAAAGTTCATGTACTGGAAAGTTGACCTCCAGTGTAACAGTGTTATGAGGATGGGAAATCTAATTATGGTATTTGAAAGGTGGGGCCTTTGAGAGGTGATTGGATCCTGAGAACTGTGCCTTTGTGAATGGACAGATCCATTCTTAGAGTAATGGGTTAATAGTTTAATGGGTTGTCATGGGTGTGGTCCTGATGGCTTTATAAGGAAAGCAAGTGAGAAGCTTAACTCACTCTTGCTCAGCCCATTTTGCTCACCATGGTGACACCCTGCATTGCTGTAGAGGGTCATCACCAAAAAGAAGGCCCTCACCAGATGTGCCCACTGAACCATGGACTTCCCACTCTAAACTGTAAGAAATAAATTTCATTTCTTTGTAAATTACCCAGTTGCAGGTATTCTGTTACAAGCAACAGAAACAGACTAATACAGTGCCCAATAAATGTTTGTTGAATAAATGAACAAACAAAAGAGACAGAAACACTTTAGTCCAGGAAAACAGGACAGAGAACAATGAAATCCAGCTATATTCAGGAAAGCATCCAGATATGTGACTGGATACAGAGGATGACTGAAGAAAAGAATCCAAGGTCATCAGATCCAGGTCTGCATATCAAGAGTGACAGTGTCTCTAAGTCAAATGGGGACATGGGAAAACACTTTAGATAAGAGGAGGAGAAACAGGTCAGGAACGTAAATTTGAGAATAAGAGAGGACAGAGGAAGTCATGAAAATGTATACACTTACTGAGGCAGGCAGGTAGGGAGAAAGAGAAATGCACAGGCAGGCACTGTGAGTCAGCCCAGGGTGGTTTTGGTGCACCTGAGGAGGAAGCAAAACTAGTGAGGAGATCAGGGAGGGCCAGTTTGAGGAGAGTTTGATCAAAAGCAAACCTATTTGCTGTCCTCTGCCTGATTGGATGGAAATTCCCTCAGAAATTCTGGAAGAATTCCCAGGCTCTAGGGAGGTGGGGTCTTGGCTGGAAAAGTAGAAGGGAAAGATGAGGTCATGGGGTCAGCAGGACACTAGGAGTATCCAAGCAACTATGCACAAAGCACAATCTCAGATGGTCAGCAAATGCATGAGAACCAATGAGTTCCACAGTTCTCCAACCCACAAATCCCTGAGACTGGAGAGTGAGTGTTCTGATCCCAGGACAACCATTCATTTCAGGCTGTGAGGAACACACAATGGACGGAGTCCTATTCTCATAAAAAAGGGGGGGGGGGGGGCTTTACCTGGGGTGACTGTATTCCTTTAATTTGCCAGCATCACCTGCCTGTTCAGTTCCCTCTGAGCAATGGTCACATGGTCTTTAGTTACTGGTTAACTGTAATAGAGTGAGGGATAAGAGGCAATACCTGAAAAAAATTCCAGAGAAGCAGATGGGTGAAATGTAAAAATAGAAAGAAAAAACAAAATAATAACTAGAAGAAAATATCGGGGGACTACTTGATCTCAGAGAGAGAAAGGCCTAAGACTTAAGCATAAAACAAAGGCTGACACCATAATGAAAAGCTGATGTATTTAACTACATAAAAATTTCTGTCCTTAAAAAAACCATAACAAACCTGTAATACAGAGTTTGCCTTATACTAGAATTACTTTATGTATGTCTGTATCCTTTCTCCTCACATATACACATTACACTTTAAGTCCCCAGAAAACAGGGCCCGTGATATTCGCCTGTGGATTCCACCAGTGCCCAGCACAAATGGGGGTTCAATAAAAGCGGTTTGATTGGAAATGTTAAATTAATCAAGTTCAGGAGTCTATCTAATATCTGAGCATACATAAGGATGATCAGAGGTTACCACCACCATCCCTCTTCTACCCGGTTCATCCTTTTTGTGCTTCATATTGTTTGATAAATACCATGATGGTATATCTGCATCCTTTGCCTAAATTCTGCCAGAGATTGACCCAGTCCCACCATTCAGAGACTCTCAGAATGTCAGAGCTGGAAGAGAACTCCCAGACTACCTGGTTTTATATACAAATGTATAGATGGGGAAACTGGAACTTAGAGAACTGGGACTCAAGTCCAAGTCTCCTGACACCCAAACTTGAGTTCTACTACTTTACTACATCACTCTTCCTACCATACCAAAACTACTCCTCAAGGTCCAGATGTCACGCCACCCCCAACCCCCCCCCCCCCCAACTTCTCTGTTTCTCCCTTACTTGGGAAATAGCCATTCAGAAATTCTCCCTTTCAGCCCTGTTTCCATATCCTCTAGGAGGCAGGATTCCTGTAACCAGACTAACTTCACAGTCTGTGTCTCACTTGCCCAATAGAAAAGCAAATGACTCACCCTCATGCCTATACACAGCAGCCTCACTACAAAGAATATTTCCAGCACAGATCTTGCCTGATCTGCTCCTTGGGTTCAGTGATAAAATTCCTAATGGGGCCTTGATTCACTGTAAACAGATAGAAATGATAGACTTCTCTGAGAGCTCAACTCCAAATGGATATTCAGGGCAGTGTCCCATCTTGGTTAACTTCCCGTCCTATAGAACTGTGAGCAGTAAGGATGATCATTCCCATTTTAAAGAGGAGGAAATGAGGCTCCCAGGGATTGAATGACTCGCTCAAGGTCATACGGTTAGTGAGTGACAAGCCTTCCATGCCTGAAGGAAATCCTCATTCCCTCACGCTACCAACACCTTTTCACCTGCTCTGTTGATAATTAAAGGCTTCATATTCTCTAACTGCGAAATGCATTCCAACTGAGGAGTTGTCTGCAATCCAGCTTTCCACAGAAAGTTTGCACAAAGGGAAGGAGAGGAGAACTTGGCTGAGTCAAGTGTCTTAGGAGAGAAAGGAAGAAATAAAGACTTTAAAAGAGCACTAGAAGGGGAATTTTTTTTCCCTGATTACTCATTTATTAGGGTTACTAGACCTCAAAATGTTTTGTTTCTGGGCCGGCCCGTGGCTCACTCGGGAGAGTGCGGTGCTGATAACACCAAGGCCCCGGGTTCGGATCCCACATAGGGATGGCCGGTTCGCTCACTGGCTGAGCGTGGTGCTGACAACACCAAGTCAAAGTTCAGTGAGCGTGGTGCTGACAACACCAAGTCAAGGGTTAAGATCCCCTTACCGGTCATCTTTTAAAAAAAAAAAAAAAAATGTTTTGTTTCTCCCTCCAAATCCCCAGGCTCTGCTTCTAATCTTTCAAGCTGTTCCATTTCTTCCCTACGAGAATTTAGCTCTGCCTTGTACACAACTGTAACCTCAGGACCTAGCATATTACTGGGTTGTGTTCAACAAATACTTGCTGAATGAATAAACGAATCCACGTGTAACCTTGGGCGAGACTCTACCCTCCTCTCTGGGCCTCAGTTTACTCACTGGAAACAGAGCGGAGAATGGACTGGTGATTTGAGTCAAATACTCTGGGCTTGTGGAGTCCTCTGAAAGCCTACTTGAGACCTCAACCACTACTATCCGGGCGGCCCACCGGCTGGGGGCAGAGATGACACAGTTCTGTCACCACCCCAGCCCGGTCCGAGCAAGCAGCTACGCGTACCCTGGAACTAGACCCAAGACAAAGGGGCAGCGCCGAACGAAAAAAGGAGGAGGCCCACAACGCCCCCGTGGCTGCCGCGCCCGTCTCAGCACCGGGCAGCCGGGACGAGGCCTGGCCCACGGCCTGTATCCCCCACCCACTCCCAGAACCGGCCTCACAGGACACCCCACACCGGTCTGCTGCTCACCCCTCACCGAAAACGCCGGACCCACATCTCGGAACAAAGCGTTGAAGGAACTCCGTCAGCAACTGCCCACTAACTCCCATCCCGACCCCCCAGCCGTTCTAGGCACGGGGAGGTTTCCGCGTCTCCCCCCGGCTGGATCCTTCCGCCCCTTCGGGGTCCGCGGGCTCTCTGGCCCCGCCTCCCGCTCAGGCTTTGTCCCACCATTGGCTGGGAGGACGGGAGGGCTTGCAGAGTTCGCCAATGTGAGGAGGGCCCCGGAAGGGGTGGAGCTTGGGGAAGGGGCTCGGTTAGGGCGGGAAGAGGAACCAATCAACTGGGTTCCCAGGCCGCCTTCCCCGGACTGAGACTTTCCGAAGTCACACTCTCGGCCTGGGCCGCGCCTTTCGGCCTCAAAGCCAGGATCAGCTGTCGTTTATTGGCAGTATATGAAATACGTATTGGGTGCCTACTGTGTCATTGTTCTAGGGGCTGCGCATACAGTAGTGAAGAAAATTAACTCCCCGCCCCATAGGGCTCACATTCAAATCAAGGGAGGCAATGATAAATAAATACGCAGAACTAGTAGTGAGTAAGGAGAGAGGTGGAGATGATGGTGGGATTATTTTATAGATGACGGAGAAGGCAGAGACAAGAAGTGAGCAATTGAAGCCTGTGGATATCTGGGAGCAGTGTGCCTGATGGAATATTAGGAGTAAAAGTCTTTAATGGGAGACTTGGGGGGGGGAGCACATTTAGGACCTTGTAAGCTACGTATGATAGGGGCTTTGGATTTGCTCTGAATAAACATAGAGAACTGGCTATTGGAAGGTTTGGGGACAGAGGAGTAACAGGATTTTTTTTTCCTTGCCACATTGTCAAAGATTCGTTAGCTATGAGACATAAAGGGAGCCAAGAAATCTGTTCCTATAAATTCTGTGAATTCCTTGCTCTCTGCTCTGTCCTTAGTCATTCTAACATAAAACTTGCATAAAAGTTTTACTCCACGACTTTTTTTTTTCCTGCTGCTGGCCAGTTTGGGGATCTGAACCCTTGACCTTGGTGTAATCAGCACCACGCTCTTACCCAGTGAGCTAACCGGCCAGCGTACGACTTACATTTTAAAAATTTGCACTGGCTGCCATGTTGAGAACAGTCTGTAAGTGGGCAAGAGTAGAAGCAGGGAGTTTAAGAGAATATTGCTATGTTCCAGGTGAGACATGACAATGGCTCAGACTAATTTAGAAGTGATGGAGGTGATGAGAAATGGTTCAGTATATATTTTGAAGACATGGCCAACACGATTTGCTAACCAAACAAATGTTGGTTAAAGATGACTCCATGGTTATTGATGTGAGCAACTAGCATAAGATTGTCTTTTGGAAATGAAGTAGCTTGAAAGCAACAGGTTTAGGAAGAGGGATCAATAGTTTTCATTTTGGATGTGTTAAAATAAAGATGACAATTAGATGTCTAAGAGGAAATGTCAAACAGGCAATTGGAATAGAAGTCTGGACTTTGGCAAAGAAATCACACTTAAAAAGATGTCAATTTGGGAGTTTTCACTGTATAGGACAGGAGTGGATCATCTACAGAACAATTGTAGATTAAAAAAAAAAAGTCTTCTGAGAGTTGAGTTTTTGAAGCACTTCATCAATTGACAAATGTGCATTGAATACTTAAAGTATACCAGGCGCTTTCTTATCCATCAGTTTATGTAGGTGGCACAACTCTGTCACATTTTATGGAGACTGAGAAACAGGGATTGAGAGATGATAAGACCTACACAAGTTCACACCCCAGCTGATGCTGGAAGTAGAATTCTGGACACTCTGCGGAGGAGCCCAAGACTATTGCCACTACATCGGGAAGCACTTAAGAATACTACTCACGTACATTAAGGTGGTTGTAATCTTCAGCTTGGTCTTGCTTTTCACCTACTCTTTTATTTGGGAGGGGGGAGTCATTAATTCTTTTTTTTTTTTTTTTGTCTTTTGTCTTTTTCCGTGTCCGGCAACAGATCGCAACCCTCAGTGTTGCCCCCGTACCGGACCAGGGACCGGCAACGGGATCGCAACCCTCGGCGTTGCTCCCGCGCCTCGCTCAGCCAGTGAGCGGGAACCGGTCTGTATGTGGGATCCGAACCCTCGGGTGGGAGCGCTGCCACGCTTCCCAAGCGGCACACTATCCAGTGTGCCACCGGGCCTGCCCGGGAGTCATTAATTCTGATTCAAGCTGTTAACCCCATATCTGGTCCCCGGGGGTAATGATTACTAATTCCTATTCTAGTCTGGTCATTCTCAAATTTTAGAGAGGATAGGAATCATTTGGATGCATGTTAAAGATACAAATTCCGGCACCCCCCAATCCAGCTTATTGCCCTTGTCACAAACATACTTTTTCTACAAAAATGTATTTGTTCAGTCCAGAATGATGTCACTGCTTAGAAATTGGGATTTTGTGTGTGTGTCTGTCTGTCACAATTGCCTAAATAATCAGTAATTTCAGTCTTTTATCACGCATCTGTCAGCCAAAGAAATTCCAATTCATATTTGAGTAAAAGAAATCAATATCCAGTTGGTCAGGTCATACTTTATCAGTAAAAATGGTGGTAATGGAGTGCTTCCCTTTGGGAATTCCCAATCTGAGAATATGTCTCTGAGGATATAAGAAAGGATCAAAAAATACTTTAAAAGTATAGAAGCAAAAGTTTGAACCCCCCACTGGAGTCACCCCAAAAGTGGTTGGATGGGAGTTCCCACCAGGGACTGCCCCAAACCATCCAAAGAAGTAAATGCCACGGTGATCAATCCAAAGCATTTATGAGAGGAACTTTCTTACAGGTAAGTGAGCAGTGGTCCTCACCACAGACAGCTAGAGAAAGGGATGTTCTACCTTGGCATGTCTGCCAGGGAAGGGATTGAGTTATAGGGTTTATATGAGGGTTTAAGGAATTTGGTTCAGGGACTGAGCTAGTTTCTTTCAGTGTTTTGAGTAATGACCTAAACACTTTTATCAGTGCCTGGGAATGTTCAAGGCCCCAGCTTGGGTTCAAACCTGCAGGGAAAAATATGAAGCAGGCCAGATCGCAGAGTGGTCAAGGCACTCTGTGTTTTGGTCGGGACAGAGATGAAAGTGGGGTATCTGGGGGACCCTATAGAAAGGAACTTATTACTGCAATATATATTGTTTTACAAGTTATAAAGAGCTTTTGTTGGTATCAAATAATTTAAGCCTCAGAATAATTTTAGGATATATTATCCTTATTTTCTAGATATAAGGAAACTAAATCACTGATATGAGAAATAATTTGCTTATGGTTACACGGCTAGTAGTGGAAAATTTGAGACTTGGACCTATGTCTTTTAACTATAGATCCCAGGTTCTGCCACACTGCTTCAGACTACAAATTTAAATTCTTACAAAAAGGGTTTTGAGTTATAATGAGCCATCCATAGTCTCCTTTTACATTTTTCAAACTTTATTTTGAAAATTTCAAACATACATATACCCTGGATTCAACAATCATTAACATTTTGCCTCATTAGCTTTGACTCTCCTCACACATATTCACATTTTTTTGTTGTTACTGTTGAGCCACTTGAAAATACATTGTAGAGATCATGACCCTTCAACCCCAAATACTGCAGCCTGCATCTTCTAAGAAAATGGATATTCTACATAACCAAAATGCCACTGTCACAATTAAATTTACAAATAATTCTATTTCACCATTAAATAGACCTATATTAAATATTATATCCGTTCCATATTCCAATTTCCCCATTGTTCCCCAAATTTCTTCTCTAGCTTTTTTTTAGATCAAGTTTCACTTACTGCATTTGATTGCTGTGTCTCTGAAGAGTCTCTTAATCTAGAACAGTTCCACAACTTTTTTCTTTTCATTTCACTAACTTTTTGAGGAGCCTAGGTCAATTGTTTTACACAATGTCTCACACTGTATAAATCACAAATCTGTGGTTTTATCTGACTGTTTCCTCATAGCATCCCCCTATATTTCCTATAAATAGGAAGGTAGAAATAGAGGCTTGATAAAAGTTAAACCTTTGCTTCATAGGTGGTGTTAAAACTTCTTACTGCATTACATGCCACCCATAATCTCCCTTCTCTGTGTATTTTGTGTGTATATTAAAAATTCTCCGTATGGGCCGGCCCGGTGGTGCACTGGAGAGTGCGCTGCTTGGGAGTGCAGTGGCGCTCCCACCGAGGGTTCGGATCCCATGTGGTGACCGGTTCCCGCTTACTGGCTGAGCGTGGCGCAGGCGCAACACTGAGGGTTGCGATCCCGTTGCCAGTCCCCGGTACGGGCCAGTAAAAAAAAAGACAAAAAGGGGAAAAAAAAATTCTCCCTAAAAAGTAAAAACAAAACAACATAAGGGGCAGGGGTAGTGACATGAGGGTATAGCTAAATGATAGGGGGTCTCTTTTTGAAGTGATGAAAATGTTCAAAAATGGATTGTGGTGATGGTTGCACATACATATGAATATACCAAAACCATATAACCATATACTTTAAATGGGTAAATTGTATGGTGCATGAATTATATCTCAATAAAAGTGTTAAAAATAACAAAAATTGAGAAACGTGCACCAGAGAACCATTCATGTGCTTGCCATAGTACTGAAATGTCCACCTAGACATTCTCTATAAGGTCAAGGTTTCAGTGGACAGTAGAGATTGAGGAGTCATTTAGAATAGAATACAACCCAGGAGTCAGTGGTGTTCAACCCAGGAGAAAATGTGTTCACCTAAGAAGAAGGCCACATTAGCAAGTCAGCCTAGACTTGTCCTTTGTAGTGGATTGAAGTATGTCCCCCCAAAACTCATTGAAGCTTGAATTGTGTCCCCCAAGTTTTATGTATTAGAAACTTAGACCCCACTGTGACTGTTAAGAGGGTGGGAAATCCTATTATGGTAACTGAAAGGTGGAGCCTTGAAGAGGTGATTGGATTATGGGACCAGGCAGTAGTGAATAGATTAAAAATGGTGGTCAGAGACGTGGTTCTGACGGCTTTAAAAGAAAAGGAGAGTCTGTCTCTCTTGCTCTCTCTGCTTCCACCACCCTGCAGTGTGCGACCCCGAGGTCGCTGTTGGCTCCATCAGATGGATTTTGGA